CTATTTACCTCTTTCTGATAATAACTCAACATTAAAGATTCAGAGTGACCTTGATCAATTTGTTAAATGGAGTGAAGAAAATGGAATGATCCTTAACACAGACAAATGTAAATACATTCAATTTTCAAAGTCGAACAATAATATAGCCAGCAGTTATCACATAAATAATACCCAACTTCAAAATGTGAATGTTGTTAAAGACCTGGGTGTTATATTTGATAGCAAAGTAACATTTTATCAGAACATAGAGGTTATAAGAAATAAAGCTTTAAAAATGTTGGGCTTCATAAAAAGAAATACATCTGAATTTACTAACATTGGAGCTATAGTAACTCTCTATACTTCACTGGTGCGATCTCATCTAGAAAATTGCAGCAGCGTGTGGTCTCCATATTATCTAACTTATCAGGACATGCTTGACGGGGTTCAGAGAAAATTTCTACAATATATAGCTTACAAAAAACACATTCCTATTGAGAATTTAGACTATAATGCTCTTGAAAAGGAGTTAAGGATTGGATCCCTAAGAGCCAGGAGAGCTTCAGCAGATATTGTTTTTGCTTATAAATTAATTCATGGTGTTTACCACTGCCCAGACCTGCTTCTAAAGCTAAATTTTTATGTTTCTCCTAGGCATTTAAGAGAACGAAGATCCTTTGAACCTTGTCGGCATAGAACTTTGTATGGCTCGAATAGTAGCATGGATAGGATAATGAGAAATTGTAATGACTGTGATATAGACCTTTTTAATACTTCACTATGCTCTCTCAAAAAGTTCCTTAAAGATAGAAATCTTAGCTAAAGTTTTCAAATGTCTTAATTGCTGGTGATGTTTGCTGTGTTGTTTAGTTGTTCAGTTTTTTTTTTTTTTAGTATTTGTTTGTAACTTTTTTATGCACGTTTTAATATTTTAATATTTTAATTTAGTAAATAGTCAAACTTTATGTTCATATGTTAGATACTTTATTTATGATGTGTGTTTATTAGGTTAAGATTGTACTTTTACAACCTGTAACCGAATGGGTTTATCCCGTAAATTTGTAAATAAATAAATAAATAAATAACTCCAACAGTGTGATGAACATGTCTTTCAACAAAAAACTGTGGATTCCTCTTTTCACCACGTCGCCTTCTAACCCTTACACCGACGTAATCGCCTTGGGTGGTGCAGACAGCGGTCACTCTGGGATGTTCATCACACTGTTGGAGTTATGGTTTGGGGTGCTATAGCTTATGGTTTCAGGTCACCTTTAATCTTCATCAGAGGTAACATGAACGCGCAGCGTTATATCCACGAAGTTCTAGAACCCCATCTTTTACCCTATCTTGACACCCTGCAGATCCAACTTTCCAACAAGATAATGCCCGACCACATGTTGCAAGAGTCACAATAGTCTTCTTTCAACATAATGATGTCACGTTGTTACCATGGCCACCAAGATCTCCTGACTTATCCCCAATTGAGCACGTGTGGGATATGATGGGTAGGAGATTGCTCAATTTGCAACGTCCTCCTCAGACTCTAGAAGCACTTCGAGAGGAGTTGGTGTTTGCCTGGAATGAGATACCACAGGAGGATATTGACCACCTGATCAGAAGCATGCCTAGGCGCGTTGGAGAATGCGTAACACATCAGGGTGCATCCACACATTATTAAAGGTCAAAGGGCTTTAAAGCAGTGCAATCATTTTGAAATTTTTATCATTTACTTATTATGCTTCATTAAGTACTTATACAAAATTTTATTAAAATAAAACCATTTAAACTGGGTGTTCGGATTTATATGTCACTTAGTATACATTTTACCTCAAAAAAAAGATGCTTGGCATCGGCACTCACACTAACTGGCGTGGCTGAATGCATTAGCGATTTTAAATGATGTTATATCAATTTTAATGATCCTGAAAATATCATCATCCACGCGGGATTAGTCACAGCAACGGTCATCTTCGCCCGCAGGAATTTCTCTCAAGGAGGAGAAAATTCATTTCATTTTTTGTTATACATATTTGTAGCTGACTATTTTCTCAGAAGGGCTAACTTGTACTGAACATCATCCTTTTCGAACCGATGGCAGCGTTGCGTGGAAAGTCAACTTACTCGACACCATACTAATTCTATGTCGCTTAGCCCGTACCCACAGACGGCCAATCAATTGAATATTTCCACAGACGTGGCGTCAAAATGACTCCTATATTGAAAGCCGTGGAAAACATTTGAAAAATAAAAACAAGTTTACCTCTATCTTATATTACTTAAATAGGATCTTTTTTAATATCATTTTTAATAAAAATCTTCTTCAGCAAAAAGCAACCAAGTTTTAGGGCCAGTTTCACCAACATTAATATTATGGACCAATGGGAAAATACCTTATCGAAATGCAATTTGACAGAAGCTGCCAAAGGTCTCTGAATATTAGTGATTTCTATTGAAATATTGAATAAAATCGTGAAAATTTGACTGTATTATAAACAAGACCACTTTTTGATTCCGACATGATGCTTTTGTACAAAAAAAACAGGACAACTTTCATGTATTTTGATATATGTTATAGATTTACATTTAACAATCCGTTATCCCCCTCAGCGAATGGAAATGGGGCAAATAATAGGTCGATTTTCTAGCTGTTAAATTTGGCAGCAGATTTGGACGTTTCTTAATGCATGGCACTCTCGAATTTACCAGCTTCAATATACTGAAAGTTATCATTACATACCTGTTGAATAGTGTGGATTTGTCTGTATTTTGCAAGAAAATAGAATATGAAATACATTCCACCCAATTCCTCATCTTCCTTTACGTCATAATAGTAATCATTTATTAATTTATGGGTTAATGCATTTCTTCAAAGCAATAAAAACATTATGTCCTCTCCATCCTAAAACACAGATAATATGTGTAAGACGTTTCAATCCCTACATCTCCCTGATGCATAATGCAATTAATATGGACAAAATTATGAAAAATGTTTCACAAATAATGTCCTTTTAAGTACAAAAATCATCAAAACTAGTAATGTTTATCGTTTGTGTTTTTGACTGGCGGTCGTTGACTGGCGGGGATATCTATCTGTCACTCGAGGGTTGCCAAGTCCATCGACGATCACGTCCCGTGGTGGAGGGTGCGAAATGAATCTTTTACATTTGCTGGTTTTGCATTTTTTTCGTGAAAATTTACTAGGTATCATGATTATAAGCATCTTTGGTAGATTGTTCGATCCGGAATGGGAAAGATCTATTTATGAAAATATTTTTGCTATCATCTAACCGTTGCAATCAGTGCACAAACACTGTGACATATGATTTATAGCATAACCCGCTGCCCTATCAATACAAATTTAACATACAGGTCGCCTAGCCGTTGGGATGCAGTGGTCGGGATGAATATAACTGATGTAACTGATGAGTTGGGCATGTCTGGTAAGAACGTATGAAGTGAAACTCGCTAACTTTACAAATTTTAAGATTTTGTACAATTTCTTTGAAAATGATGAAATATATGTCTGATTTGGCAGGGTAATGTCGCAGCCAAATGGCAGTCACTCTTTCTGACACAGTCCGGATCGAAAGATGACGATACTAGTGAAATGTATTGATACTTCTAAATATAGGATCCTATCGAACATCCCTACTGTCAAGATCTATAACCCGAGGTACCGACGGAGCTATTTTGCGGCGTCATGGAAATAATTTTAAATTTTCATTTGCATTTTTTCAAGTGTTGTGCAATGATTTTGGGAAAAATGTCACGAATAGTCTTATAAAGCATAGTAGAGTATATTTCAACAGTTGGAGGAACTTACTCCACTGGGACCAGGAGGGTGAAACGGGATATTAATGCACAATCTGGCAACACTGTCGCACCCTCACAAAATGGCCGCTGACAACCACACTAGTCACCGTGTTGTGATTGAATAGCATGGAATTAAACATTCAGAGTATGTTTTGTGACTGGTACCAAGAGTTGACAGATAACACACATGTGTCACTCCTTGACATGCAATAATCAGCTGTATTCAAATAATGTCTAATATAAATATAACCTAGAATGTGTACTCGTGAAAAAAGAAAAATATGGCAAATTTGTAGTTTTTTCTGCAGGTTTTATAGGTTTGCTTTAAGGCATATATTTGGGAATTTCTTAATCGCTGTGAATATAGTGTGGATGTTTGTTCAGTTCCTGAACAACGAAAAATATTCAACTTTATGGATGTATGGATATCAAAAAACCTGAATGGTTTTGTGGGAATATCAATCTAAGGTGCCATAACGGTTCTGATGAACGTCAAGTAAATGAATGAATGTTTGGAAACGAGCAATATCTATGAACCTTTTGGTAGAGCCAGTCGTCAAGTAGGTGCTTAATGGCTATCTGCAAGAGGTTTATAGGAGAAAACACCCAGTAGATGATCTTGAATCAGTAAATTCGCATATCAATTGAAGAAAATTATATAAACATGAATAAAAAATCAACAATAGTAATTAAAACATGAATTTAATTAATTTCTTAAAATTTTGACTGAATTATATATAATTTCTTAATATTCAATAAGCTGGTAATGTTTCAATGCCAAGTTGTCATCTCATGCTTTGATAGTATTTTGTTTTCAACATTTCATAGCTATTGGTTGCTAAAATTTGTTGATTGGAACTTGAAGCTCATTCCCTATATCTGACGGTCTCTAACCCTATAGGTGGAGAATAACGGACTGTTGTTGGTGAAATTGGGCCTTAAACAAATATATTAATTTATTGCACACAATTTTCGTGAATATTTACAACATTTTTGGTAACTTTTTAACATAAAAAAATGAACTTGCTAAGTACTTTTCATACAAAACGAAAAACATAAAACGATTAGAAATTAACGTGAAAGTAATATTTTGGAAACGTGCAGTAGGTTTTCCAAGTTATCTTTTCATTTTGCACAGTACACGCAAACCATTTGAAACGGCTTTTTTCCAAAGGAATAGTTTCCTGTAGAAGCGCCGTTCGATGTCTCATCTTCTTTAGTAGGAAGAATTTCACAATCTCTGTCCATATCCTGTTCCGAACGCTCTCATGATCACTGTAAATGAATTCGGCATCTGAATCAATATCACTGTCGTTTTCATTTTCCTCATCCACATCAGCCGCCCATTTCAGCAAAGTTTCTTCGTAGTCCGAATCGCCATTTTTTTGAGGGACCAGCTTTGCTATCAAAATCCATCATACAGACCTGAAATAAACCTAGCAGGTTCATGCAATACAGAAACAAGAATATAACATTATCACAGACCTGTAGTGTTTTTGACTTTTTGACCTTTACGCCTGGTCAGATAGACTGGGGAAACTGCTCACCACGTACTAGCAAGGAGTCAAATTACATACATACTAAACTCCTCCCTGTGCCAATACTTTCCCGAAAATATGCAATTTTAGGTCAACAATTTTCCACGATTTGCTATCGCAATGCCATTACCGCAAACCTCTGAACAAACGCAGTTTATTTAACGCCACTCACCACAATTATGAATTCAAATTGGAAATCTATGGTCAATAAAAGCCCAATCGTGAAAAGCTATGCTCTCGTATTTGTACAATATGCTGAGCCTTATTTATAGCTAAAATTTTTCATAATTGTTCTTCCATAAACGCAAAACTAGAGCGGTGACGTAGTACGCGAAATCATGTTTTAAGGTTTATTTGATTTTGACCACAGATGACCCCGGGACGCATTTTAACACTATGGTATAGGATTCGGCACCAGCCTTAATTTTATTGGTCAATTTCAATTTATTCAACCAATAACAAGCCGGGTGCCGAAATCACTACCGGAATGTTAAACAGTGCTGAGCATGGGGTCAGAATGTTATCAATTTAAATTTACTTACCTTCCGCTAAAAATACGTAAGATAATAATCAACGCACGTTGTTTCCTATTACGATATTTAATTATTTTAAAATTAATAATTTGGTTTAGCAATAAGAAAAATTACATGAAAAATTTATATATATTTATATAGGTGAAAAATTAAAGCTTCCGCCTTTTGTTGGGTACTTCGACAAAATTTAAGCAAGAAGGAATCTTTATACTTTTTTTATTCTCTCTAGCTTTCAATGGTCTTTGCCATCATCATCAGGAGAGTAGTATGTGAGGATGTTGCTAATTGTTGTTTACGTTAAGGATGAGGGAAACACCCAGTAACATGGTGAAAGCTGTATAAATGGTACAATGATCAAAATTATATAAAATACACACAGCTGTATGACAAGAACAAGTTAAAAACTGATAAAATTTTTTTTTAGAAATTGAAAGTTAAACATTACATCGTGAAGCCACTTGGTGATTGCACAAAATGGTGGGCATGTGCAATCATCAAGTGGCTTCACGATGTAATGTTTAACTTTCAATTTCTAAAAAAATTTTTAAACTGTTTTTAACTTGTTCTTGTCATACAGCTGTGTGTATTTTATATAATTTGGCCATTGTACCATTTATCCAGCTTTCACCATGTTACTGGGTGTTTCCCTCATCCTTAACGTAAACAACAATTAACAGCATCCTCACATACTACTCTCCTGATGATGATGGCAAAGACCATTGAAAGCTAGAGAGAATAAAAAAGTATAAAGAGTCCTCCTTGCTTAAATGTTGTCGGAGTACCCAACAAAAGGCGGAAGCTTTAATTTTTCACCTAACTGGTCTAGACGACAATGACCACGTTTCAAGTTATATTTATATATATACAGGGTGACTTCGAAGTTGAGTCATTTATTTTAACAGTGAGTAGATCTGATCAAAAGAAATGTTTTTTTCCTTTACCATTTTTCTGGTAAAATTAAAGTAACAAAGTTATAGCCCTTTGGAAGTTTGACTACCGCCCTGTCTCAATAATATCATGTGCTCGTGTTTGGCGACAACGGATATAATCCGCCTTATCGGTTCATCGCATCGGAAACAAAAAAGCGAAGGAATTTGGAACGATGTTTTTACAATTATGTTATCCAGTTCAGTTATACATACAGTCAGTGTCAGTCGCGTGTGAATAGTGTCTGTTGCGTGGCTCAAACGAAATAGAAAATGGCACATGTTTATGCGGATCGGTTTCCCAATCGAGTGCAACCAACCCCTCGTGCCTTTGTTAATGTAGTACAACGGGCTCGTGAATCAGGTGACTTAAGACCTCACAGGGGACCTCACGATCAAATACAGGTCCGCACTGAAATACTTGTCGGGAGGATACTTTATAAAACAAGGTAAATTTTTTTTTATAATTTTTTTTTATTTTTACACACATATTTTGGTTTATCTTCCTTCTACAATCATTATCTGAAAATTAATGACTCAACTTCAAAGTCACCCTGTATATATATATATATATATTAGTAGAAGTAGTTTATTGATAACATTCTGACACTGTTTTCAGCACTGTTTAACATTCCGGTAGTGATTTCGGCACCCAGCTGGTTATTGGTTAAATAAATTGAAATTGACCAATAAAATTAAGGCTGGTGCCGAATCCTATACCATAGTGTTAAAATGCCCCCGGGACTCGCCTATGAGAAAAGCGGTTTCATTTATTCTCAAACCCCAAAACTCAACTGGTCACAAGTTATGGGCCGTCGAAGTCAGTATAAATGCGTATAGGTTCAACTCAGTCATCTGTTCTACCTGGGAGAACAATTTCGGCTAATACAGCGTTTCCCAACTTGTGGGGCGCGCCAATATTAAAGGGGTGGTGCGAGCATATCAGAAAAGAAAACACTGACAACATTGAATGATTTACTAAAAAGAAAGAAAAAAAATTCTAACATAATCAAAAATAAAATACACATTAACACCGATATAGTCGGCACACTTATGAATAGGATTGTATTTACCAATACTAAACTAAAAATAAGTTTAATAATATTAATTGTAAAAAATAGAGGCATTGATTCCGGATTTGCCAACGCAGCAGATCGGCGTTGCCAAATATCTATAAATTTACTTATTATCGGTAAGTTGTAGGATTTGTTATTAAGGTTGTACAGTGAGATTTTTTTATATCGAAGCAGCCGCGCAGGCTGCGGAGCTTGCTCCAGTTCTTTCGCCTCTCTTCCAGATATCTTATGAATCCGGCACCTTTCCAGGTAAAACTGTAAATTTGCTCATGTCCAACCCATCCCAAAAAAAGGATCTAAGAGCGACCCTTACAACTGCAGGCCTATAGCTCTGCTTTCTGTTATAAGTAAGGTGATGGAGAGGTGCATAAATCGCGAGCTTCTGGACTACCAAATTGAGCAATCTCCTACCCATCATATCCCACACGTGCTCAATTGGGGATAAGTCGGGAGATCTTGGTGGCCATGGTAACAATGTGACATCATTATGTTGAAAGAAGTCTATTGTGACTCTTGCAACATGTGGTCGGGCATTATCTTGTTGGAAAGTTGGATCTGCCAGGGTGATGGGGTTCTAGAACTTCGTGGATATAACGCTGCGCGTTCATGTTACCTCTAATGAAGATTAAAGGTGACTTGGAACCATAAGCTATAGCACCCCAAACCATAACTCCAACAGTGTGATGAACATGTCTATCAACAAAAAACTGTGGATTCCTCCTCTCACCACGTCGCCTTCTAACCTTGGCACGACCATCGTGCATGGCTAAACAAAATCGAGACTCGTCACTAAAGACAATACTGTTCCATTCCTGATCCCAGAGTGACCGTTGTCTGCACCACTCAAGGCGATTACGTCGGTGTTCTCGAGTTAAAGGGAGGACCCAGTGTGGCCGGTATGAAAACAAGCCAAAACTTCTCATTCGTCGGTAAACACTTCGCATGCCAATAGGTCTTCCGTGTTCTGCAAACCATTCATTTGCAATGGACCTGGTAGTGGAGAAACGGTCCCTTAAGGCCAATAATCTTAGGCGGCGATCTTCACGGTCTGTTGTTCTACGGCGGCGTCCAGTGCCCCTTGCTCTTTGCGTACGGCCTTCTCGAAGCCATGCCTGACAACACCTAACTACAGTGTCTACACTTCTTTGCACTCTAACTGCAATTGCCCGAAAAGAAAGTCCAGCTTCCCGAAGTCCCACTATACGGCTCCTATCAAACTCACTAAGTTGACGAAATCGTACAGGTCTCCGTACTCTAGGCATCGTAACCGATCGTAAAGGATGTCAAGAACCAAAATCCGCCAACGTTGATTATTTACTGCGGCTGAAATATTCATTTTTAGAGCGTTAGTGAATTAAAAAAAAGCAGTATAAAAACCGGAATGTCCAACTGATAAGGCTGAAAATTAGTTCACTTGTTATTTACAGTAAGATAAATACATTCACCAACTTTTATTAAAATAAAACCATTTAAACTGGGTGTTCGGATTTATATGTCACTTAGTATACATGTTGCCGCACAGGCAATGGGGAGAAAATTGTGACTTGTGACCTCTTGCTATTGCTTCGTGGACCCATAATTCATAGATTGTCCATGTATATGAATAAATCAGAGACTGCAGTCAAACTAAAAACAACGAGGGTTAATTGCTGACCGCACAAACATACTCCATATTCAACATTTTGTCGATAATTGCCAATCAAGGAAATAACTGGCTACCACTCACCCAGTATATACTAATGGCCATACACAAGCTCGCCAGATTTTGCGGGTTTGCATCTTTCTCTCTACTATTACACGTTTCCCTTACCCTGCGATATTGAATGCTTGTTTGGTATGGTTTTACTGTGACAGACAGTAAAAGTCTGTCATTGCTTAACGTATTCTATCTGAAGATAGCCAATCTAATACTATATTCGCTCGACCAAAGAATTATCCGAGATGAGCGTATGAGAATTTGTCACAGCTATATTTCTCCTCTCCGCAACAATTGGGAATCTACTTTGAAAATTCAGCCTCCCATACTAACCGTTTCAAATTTCGTTCATCCAGGTGTCACGTGCCAAAATCACGTAACCTTCCTTTTACTGTTTTGATCACTCATCAGTAATTTGAATTTCTCTTTATTGATTATAGCGTACCGATTCCTAGGCCAAATCCTTTTTAATTTTCTTTTGGCAAATTTCATAGTTTATTGATTGTATAATTTCACACGTATTATATCTTTCTTTCTCAGCGACTCAGTACTGTGTTGAAATCTTTTGGACACAATGTTATTGTATTATAAACGACTATCTTCGAAATTTCCTCATAACATTTTGTTGGTCTCTCGTAGAGAGGTTTGGTTTTGCCCCTTTGGCAACCAGCGCGCCACCTTGTGATTTCTACACGTACTAGCCGTATATGAATATTTGCTTCACTATCAAGATACCTTCTTT